TGCTCGTTCGACGCGGAAAACGGGAAACGACGACCGTGTCCGGTGGATTCGAAATCGTCGTCGGGGCAAAAACCGCGAAAGAAGCGACTGTCATGACAGGTGTCTAACGGCGGAATTTTAATCGCGCGGCGAAACGAGCGAATCGATCGCGAGAACCGGGTGTTTGCGTTCCACTGGCCGGAAACGGTCTGCACGTGCAACCGTGTTTTTAAAGAAATCCCGTTCGCCAACCGTACCGACGACTAATAATAGAAGCGATAATATTTGCTCGCGCGTACGGAGTTGTTCGCGCTACCGGGCCCGATTACTCGCGCGTGCACATTCAACGAGATTATTTTCAGAGTTGGCGATAGGCGCTGGTGATTCCATTTCGAATTAACTAAGGGCTGGCCGAAAGATTACGCGTAGAACGAAATTCGAGTTCCTTTGCACACCTGTAGCGACAGTTACAGATATTTTAGAACCTCCAATATATTAACCTTTGACCACTCAACGTAATCCCAAATAATTTTAATGTATGAGACTTGATGACGAGTGTAGTAGCCTCATCATTGTAGGGCAAAGGGTTAACGATCTTCTTTTCTTCTAAGTTTAAAAACCACCAAATATTGCATAATATACATTCACAAAGTTTTAGGCCTAGATTTATTAAAAGGTAAACTGTCAGTAAAATAACTACTTTTTAGAAGTCAATTTCTAAGGAAGTTTTCGGATTTTTTAGACACTTCCTCGCCATTTTACGATCAGTTATATGCCTTTGCAGAATTATTCTTAATCATTGGCGATCTCCGTGGATTTTATCGCGCCGTTCGCGAACAAAGGATCGAGTGGAAGAGGGATAAAGAAAAATAATAGGGACTCGACGGCGCGAACGATGGACACGGTCTGCCCGCTTCGCTGCACCGAGCGTTCTCTTTTTCTTTACGGTTCTTCCGTTTTTTTCGTTACCGATTCGAGTTAATTAGCGACGCTCGTATAACGAGGCGATTCGAGATTCTGGCCAGCAATCCCCTTGAGCCAGGCCGCTGAAACTCCGTCGATGTAAATCTCCGCGGGATCGATAAACCCAGCTCGGTTGCATCGACCACCAGCAAGGGTTGTGCTTTATAGCCAACCGGGGTGAAGGAACTCTGGATCTTAACGCGATGAGCCAAGTTTTCCGCGCGACCCTGTCTACGATACTTGTAGGAAATGGTTCCCGGCAGCACGAACTTGTAGAACAATTTAATTGCACGCGTACAACGACGGGCTTCCTGTTCGTCGTCTTTATTTTTTACTTAGGAGGGAAAGCGTTGCGAACGCGAAAAATTTCTAAAAAAATATGTTCGCCGGAAAGGCACGCTTTAAAACACGTTCTAACTATTTAAAACAAAATGTTTCTTGCCTAAATGAATTTTAATGTAACTTTATATTTATGTTTTAAAATTAGTCTATGGGTAATGATTTTGTAGTTTTTCAATTTCTGTGATATATTGTTAAATAAATATTAAACTAAATTTAATTTTACACGAGAATGTTAAGTAGCTTCTCATCTTGTATCATTTAATAAATATTCAATGGAATCTTATTTGTTACTTATTCAAACTGCATTTTTTTCGCTTAAATCAAGCACCTAGATGGCGTACCGTGTCAACGATGGCCGCCATTACGAAAAGATTCCGGTTCGAGTCCAGCAAAAGTTCTATATTTATCGATGCACATAAAACAAATATGAATATAATTTATATTTAGCCACTGCTTATTTTGTAAAACATCTACATCATAAATGTTTTACTTAAATAATTAAAATCTACAAGGGGACTTTGAAAACAGGAGTCGAACGTTGTTAAACAAACTTTCTCTACAATCTGTTTTCGTATATTAATAAAGAAAAATAGGCTCCCGAGCATCCAAAATAAGTAAAATCGTGCTGTTTCTCTTATTTTTCATTCTATGAAAATATTTTTCCTCGCGAAGTTTAATGCTCTCATGAATATTCAGAAGTCTTTTAAAGAAACGTTCCCACCTATAAGAATTTAATTTTATAGCAACTTCCTACTCGGGTAAATTCCTTTGATAAACTTTTAACGACGGAATAATATTCGCTTCTTGTCCAGTCACCGTTTCGCGATAATTTCTATCTAATCGCCTCGGCCTGCATTCCATTAAATTTTGTGCATAACAATTAATACCCAGTTAGGGGAAGCACAGACCGCCAGGGGTGGATTATGAGGGTGGCCAAGCGCTAGAGGACGTAACAATGAATAACTGCGCAGTAATGTAGCTCGTTCGCGATCCACGTTGCAAGATATTCACGAACGTGGCGATACACTGGCTGTTTAAAACCAGAGATAGGCAAAATTTTATTCGGATAATAGATGATGAATAGCAACATCCTATAGCGATCTATTTGCTGCGTTTTTTCGGTCAGACAATCGTTCGAATAATCTCTCATTTCTCCAATATGAAATATAATTTAATTTTATAATTCAGTCTGCAACTTTTCTCAAAAGTTGTTTATCTTTTATTCGTTATTCGAAACTTTTATCTAGATAAGAATTTTGTCCTTCTTTGAACAAAACCGTATCTTTGTTTGTAATTATATAAGTTCTAGACGATTTCTTCTGTTTGTTCTAAACTACATTTAGAAACATTCTTTTTCTATATAAATTTTCGATACACAAACGCAAAGAGATTTTGTTTGCATATGAAGTCCCCGAATAAAATGGTGCGTTTCATGATAATAATGTTCGAAACTCCATCTTCGTTCGTTCGGGGCGCACCGCCATGAAATTGTTAATGAAACAACTGGACGGGTAATTTCGACGAAAAATGGGTCCCGAAGCACGGCGAAGAGAACGATTTCATAAAGAAGCAATTTCACGGATTCATAACTTTCCTGGCCGGAAGCAGCGGGCAATTCTTTTCGGTGCGCGGTCGACTCATCGCGAAAGTGATTCGTTTAATTGAGAATGATGCTCTGCTTTCGTGTCGCGGCCTCCCCGCTTTATAATTCGATTTTCTGATCCGCCGCGGTCGTTTTGCGCGAACGTATATCGTGTGTCCTTTAATACGGATTTAAATCGAACCCGAATGCGATTTATTGTCACTTCCGACGACATAAATAGTCCCCGCGCGTGAATCCTTGTAGATAAACATCTGGCGACGTTTGCAAATATGACTTCGCGAGCTTGGAAAATCGCATGATGCATAAAACAACCTAAAACACCTGAAATGCTGTTGATTTTATCTGGATTTCATATTTCTAGCTAATATGGACTAAAATTAATATTCAAATGCTTTTTAATCTTGGTTTTAACCTATATCCTCCAACAATGATCGTTTAAAAATTTTCAGAGTTGTTAGAATATCCAAAAAAATACAGAAGATTTAAAATACTTAATTTGTTAGATGATCTATTATAGTGATGACAAATATTGAATTCCTAGGGGTAAAAAGAAAATTAGGCAATGCTCACAGCTTAATATTAAAATAAATTAAGTATTAAAATGAAATGCAATATTAAAATAAATTAGGTACTAGAATAAAATACGATATTATCGATAGCCTGAATTTGACACGTCCAGAATAGCTAAGTGAGTGCCTTTGCTGTGAAGCAACCCCTTCGCAGTAAATTTATTCCTATAATCGCTTTCAAAATAATGGAATTCGAAAATGTGTGATTTGGTTAGCGCGTCTGTTCATTATTCACCATTTCTACTTGTACTGATGTTCGAGTTGTACTTCATTGCACGCGTTTGTGCAAAAATTGATTTTCTGTTTTAGTAATCGAATGATTTCCGGACCAAATATACTGTTACTCCCACTCATATTCGTACAGTATAATGGTTTATGTTTGAATAAATTCAAAAAGAAACTCGTCAACGGTCAGTGCGGGTTGAAAACAACGATCCACGTTCGATCACTGAATGGAATCATCATTGGGCCACGACCAGTACAAGAATGGGTGACCGTTTGGGGAACATTATAGTCAAATTATTATTAAACGGTTTTATATCCGTAATAAAATTACTAAATACTAGAAAATATTGTTAGAATTATTCTATTATACTTAACAACAAAAGTATTTCGTAAATAGAAATAAAATTTTGGGGAAGCATTTCTAGCCTCACATTAGATTTTCGATAAAGAATTTTTTTCGCGAAAGTGCGAAGAAATTCGGAGGTATATGTATTCACCAAAAATCATTGAAATTGACCTCTGCAACTAAAACTAATTTTTTTGGAACGATTTGAAATTTTTTAATATCGACGAAAAATTTCTGCACTTACTGAATTTTTTTCTCGAAAGTGCGTAAGATTTCGGGGGTATGTTTATTCACCAAAAATGATTGAAATTGACCCCCGCAACTAAAAATAATTTTTTTAGAACGATTTAAAATTTTTGTTTTTCGCCGAAAAATTTCAGCCACCTACCCCTGTCGATTTTTCATAGAAATTAGTTCTTGATTTTTAATAAATTTGGCTGGCATTGTACGGAAATGTTGTCTAATACTTTTTTGTAGGTACTCATGAGCTCTACTTCAGAAAAAAGTTTCATTGAAATATATTCACTATTGTAGGAGTTATGGCCGTTTGAAAATTGGACCATTTTTATGAGGTTTTTCTAATTTCGCGGGGTCAAGGAATAACTTTTCCGATATTTTCAGAATTTCCACCTATTCTTGGCCAAAATACGCGTAGTTCGCAGTTTGAAATATTAAAATCGTCCAATCCGTTCAGAAGTTATGACGTTTTAAATATACGCAAGAATTTTTGGAGTGACATTTCTAGCCCAAAATTATATTTTCGGTAAGGAATTTTTTTCTCGAAAATGGTTGGGATTTCGAGGGTATGTCTGTTGACCAAAAATGATTTTAATTGACCTCCACAACTAAAAATATTTTTTCCAGAACGATTTGACAAAATTTGTTTCGCCAAAAAATTTCTGAGACATTTCTCAATAAATATAGTCCCATCGACTCCTAAATAACCTATTAGAACAAAAAAATATATACTCACGCTGGCTCGCCGTTCTGTTCCAGGTGCACCACGTTCCCGCTGAGAGTCTCGATTTCCTGCGGTCGTTTCACCACGTGCATCCCCGTCTTCTCCCTCGGCGAGGACACACCCCTAACAGTGTCCACGCTCACCCCGGTGTCAGTGGACCTCACGCTTTCGATCGAATCGACCGACATACCCGCGGACGATTTCAAGGACGTACCACTTCCATGATTAACTTGCCGTGGTTTCACCTCGGCGCTGTTCACATTCTTCGAGCCGTTCACTGCACCAATCATGGCGGACACGTTGTTCGTCTTCGCGGCGGTCGTCGATTGATCGGCAACGACCGCGTTCGTCGCAACGTTCCCCGTGGCAGCGTTCGCGGGAACCTTCGTCTCCGACTCTGTGGTCAATTTCGAAACAGTTTTCGCGTCTTCCTGTTTCGTCGTAGCACTGGCCATCGATCTCTGCGTGCCGGTGCTCGCAGAATTCCTCACGGAATCGTTCGCCGCCTCCACGTCGTTGGTCCTCGTCGAGTTGCTCGTCGAAACGGATTGCAACGCGGCCGGATCCTCAGACTTTTGATCGTTGTACTTGGAATTCTTCGCATTTTGATCGTTGATCGCGGTCTGGTTCCTGTTCGAACGCTGCTGCGTGGCCGAACCGGTGTTGTTCGCCGCTCCGTTCGCTTTGTTGAGGCTCTTCACAGATTGACCGACGCTACTGTTCTTCGAATGGCCGCCAACAGCCTCTGGGATGGGCGAATCGTTCCTGCTGTCCGTTCCACCCTTCGTTCTAGCATAATTGTTACCAGGCTTGCTAGACCTGGAGACCTGGTTCGAACGCTGATCGTCGCCGACAGGTTGACCGTTTTGCGCCTGTCTAGCAACCGAATCGTCGTTCGAAGGGTTGGAAGATTTGCTGTTAGGGTCCGATGACTTGTTCTTCGTCCTCTCGGATGGGTTTCTTCTCTCTGAAGCATCTTTCTCCGAAGGAACAGCGTTCGCGTCTATGTGCAGTGGCTGCACGGCTGTTGTGGCCGTCGTGTTCACCACGCTGGACGTGCCGGTAGCGCCGGAAGATTGTTTCAACAGATCGATCAAGTGCAAATTGCCCACGCGATCCGAGCTCGACGAGTTCTGAGACTCCTTCGAGCCCGTTTCCGTTTGTTTGCCAGTCTGATTGGACTCGTTCGCCTTGGACCCCTTGTCGCCCGCCTTTCTGCTCCTCTCGTTAGGCTGATTGGAGATGGTGATGAACCTGGCCGGGTTCAAGTTATTCGTGCCGATCTTGTTCGTCTTCAAGGGGATCTTCGACGGAGACGTCACGCATTCCTTGCTCGACGTTCTGCTCGACGTCGTCTTCTCCTGGGTCGCTCTCCTCGCGTTCCTCAGATTTTTCGACGGAGACGCGGCGACCTTTTGCAGCTTGGTCGTCGACGACCTCGTCACTTCCTTGGACCTGTCTCTCCGCACGAACTGCGGCGTTTTTTCTGGCTTCGTCGGAGTACCCTGGATAGGCGAGAGTTTGCTGGGTGTCCTGGTGGTTTGTCGACGTGTGACCAGGTTCGTGGTGCTGTTGCTGTTCCCAGACACGTTTAGGCGATTCCTCGAGTCGGTGACGTTCAAACGGGTTCGCGAGTCCACGCGGCGACCGATTCTTGGCGACGAAAGACGCTCGTTCGATTTGCTGAGGGACGTCGAGCGCTGTCGAGTTGGCTGCGGTATGAGACTTCTTCTTGGGCTGCTCTGCTGCGATACTGAAACTGACAATCACAGTTGGACGCGCGAGAAGGTATTGGTACCTTAGTACCTCGATTATTGTAAGAAACGGGGACTGAACATTTGTGTAGAAGATAACTTTACCTAGTGATCGAACACTTGGTCATAATTTTATACGATTGGTGATATCTGTGAGCCTTGTAGAATAATACAATGGTTTTCATTCCATATACAGTAGGTTTTTGTTGATATCTCTTATCCTTAGTCTTTTTCAAACTTTTTCACGTTAACTGTCGTAGAGATTAGACAAAGATATTTACGTATTGTCACGTGTAAAGCAAATTTATCTATGTATATAAGGAAGGTGATTTTTTATGAAATAAAATAGGAAAAATATGAAGGATCAAATTTGATAATTCACTCCACATGTATATACTTGTGGCTAAGATGGAGAAGATATTTGAAAAAATGTATTATTTCTATTTACTTTGTTCGAAGACCATCGATAAAATTGTATAAGATTTTCGAAGTTTTTTCTACGTATTTCTCGATAAAACGAAAAGTGTTAAGAATGAAATTCTGAGAATGAATCGTTTATGTTTCACGTTAAAACTGACAGTTTCTTCAAGCTTCGAATTTCCAAAATATACGACTCGACAATTTCGGTTTAGATATTTTTTCGTTATAAATGTTTGTAAAAACGCATTCGTCGCGAGATCGTATCTCGCTTTTCCCTATTACTAAATTTTATCGTTATGGTTACTTGCCACATTCACTTCTACGGCGAAACTAATATTAGTTTATGTAGCAATAACTTCGACCACACTAACCATGTTTATAAACGCATCGTGTTTGGATTCGAAAATTAATCAAACGAATATTCTACGGATATTTCACCCTTATCGCCTTTGATTGAAAAATATTTTAGTAATTATTGATTTTTGAAAAATGAAATATTTAATCTCTCAGAAATTAAGTAAAATAATTTATATTTTTTTCTACAAGGTTCGATTCCCATGTTTAATTTGCTGAAATAAATAAATCTAATATCCTTCTATTTCAATAAAATTATTTTAATTAAAACGTTCCATGCAGTTCTAATAATCGAACTCTTGGAATTCAAACTGCAGTAATGATCGAAATACTTTTGCATTTTAGTCCAATAAGTTAAAAAAAAACGCATTTTATATTAAAATACTCCCCTTAATAATATTCTATTATTTTGTAAGACTCACAAATATCACTGAACACTTTAAAGTATTATAATTCTTCAACAATGTTGAACAACATTTCTTATAGCAACACATGTAACTTGTCAAAGAAATGGAAAGGAATTTACAATTTTAAAATATTGTTTTAAATTTTGTTACAGTACAAAATTGTGAAATGACCTAGTATTGCAAAAAAAGTATTGAAAGTAGAATGGAACGTCAGAGAAATATTCAGAGATAAAAAATCGTGGAATGACCTAGTATTGCAAAAAAAAAATATTGAAAGAACAAGAAGGAGCTGAGGAAGACTCAAGAGTAAGTTGACCGACATATTACTATTTTCTATGCATCTAGGAAGTTTCTGAGGGATCGTGCGCCCCCCAGTTTGAAAAGTACTGACACAAAAGGTTACCTCGACGATCGTTTCGACCTCTTTTCCGTCCATCGGCGTGTTCCGGGGACTGTGGCCTCGACCTCGATCTTGGTGGCGGTCCCTTGAATCCGCGTCCTCGAAATGGCGAAACTCTGCCGGTGGCCAATGTCGGCGACGGGCTCCTCGACTCAGGCGACACCGGCCTCGAGTCCGCGATTATCACGAAGCTGGACCGTCTGTGGGCCCTAGAGGAGGACGTGGAGGATGGCGCGATCTTGTAGGGCTCGGGTGCACGCGGCGGGGGCGGCGGTATCGTGGGGGGTGCCAAATAATTCCCATCGGGTGCCGCGAGCACCCTGAACGGAGGCGGTCGTGGAACATGGCCGTCGTCGATCCGCCTCATCCTTTCGAGGCCCCGAAGCTGCAACGTGAACGCACCGTGTCTGTGGCCGAAGGCGGAAGATTTTCAAAACCCGCGGTCGCTTCCCCAAACGGTAATCGCGGAAGAACTGAATTAGGCTCCTTCGCTTTCGAGCGTACCTACGACCCCCAACCTTCCAACCCCCACTATCACGCTTAGTCAGATCTATGCTCTTTGTTTCGCAAAAGCTGAGAGCAGAGATAAGAAACGACTGTGGAGGGGGGAATGTATACGTTGAGGATGAATGTTCGGTAACCTAGTCTCTGTACTATCCGTGTACTTTCACACGTGGAAACTGACAAAAGTATTTGTAAAATATTTGTGTACGATACTTCTTCCGGGCTTAGGAATGATGAATTTGGTAAGTTTGAAAATTAATTTTAACTCTTTCAACTTAACCATTTTTTATTTTATTTCCCATGGATTGGAGAAATATTATCGAATTTTTTTTTTTAGTTTTAAGTAGAAATATTTCAAAAGGTATTATAAGCTTGGTATTGTGATAGTGGTCAGGAATGGTTAATATATAGTTGCTCCCACTCGTATCTATGCGTTACATTTTGAAATTGGTATATTCCATTGAGATATCTAAAGGTTTGTATTTGAATAAATAAAAAACAAACCTTTTCAACGATAGTGTTAGAAACACTGGTTCACATCTACATAGATATACATCGCATAGTTATATGCAGATATAAGGAAACTGTTAGTACAACAAAGTAAAATTAGGTTAGTACAGTAAAAATGAAAGAAAGACTGAATGTAAGTAACGTATCTAATAAATGCAATTTTCATAAGCAGATTTTCATTAAACTTTTCCTGTAAGAAAAAGATAATTCTTCAGTAGAAAGTGTATATTTTTGAACATCACACTGTGATAAATTTAAAAGAAAAATAGATATAATATCTAAAATGTTCCATAATGGAAGGTAGAACCACAAAGAAAGGCAGGGGGCTTTCAAACATCAGCTATATAGGAAAGACTATGTAAGTTTAACGTAAGTTAAGTTTCTATATGTATAACTGTAAATATATTGTTGATAAATCGTTGTTGGAAAAAAAAACTTCACGTCTGATCACCGAAGTGAAGCTGCATTGGAACTGATCGAGTTATGGCTGATTTAAATGTTGTTTGTTATTGTTATACTGTTTATATTATTATACCTCTCTATCGGTTTTGTAATTGGGCATTACTTCTCTGTCAATATTATAAAACACAAAAACAAACAAAAACATTTCTCAAATAAAAGTAACATAGGTGTAATAAACAACATTACGGTAAAAATATTATAGTGAATCCCCATTATAGTGTATGAATACGAGTGGAAGTAACGACTGTATATATACAATGAATAAATAAAATTTCATTCCACTACTGATATAAATCTAAATTCCCTCGAAATTTAAACCTGTCACAAGGTTTAAAAAGTTGTTTAAAATGTCATAGTTCTCTTATTTCGAAATTCCAAAAATACTATCTGGATCAGAATGACCCATGTAATTTTCCAAAAAAATATAGTACCTCGAGTCCTTCATGCAGACCACCAGGATGCGGAGGACGCCGAGATCCGTTGTCGCTCTCACCTGAAACACACAGAGAAAACTCGGCTGAAAACAACACACGAGACCAGTGAAAAGATAACCGATAAAATATGAATTGCTTAGATTGTCAGATAAACTACTACTTAGCACGTTACGGCTTAACGAACGTACAACAACAATCGCAGAATCTCTATACCACGCTTACCGATTCTGCGTTAAAAACAAAAGGAACACTCGCACGTCGATACATCGTTTACGTAACGATTATCGAACGATAGAACAAATACCGGGGACCTAGTTTTCTGTTTATTAGGGACCCCACCGTCGACGGTGCTAAATCAAATTAGATCGTTCCTCCGTGATTAACACGACATTTTTAACGCCCTCCGTTCAGCGCGATACGCGGGAGAAAAAGGCGCGTTTCCGGGAATTCGATCGCGAAACGGTCCTTGAAATAGCTGGCTCCGACTGTGTCTAGTTCATCGTGCTCCTTGCTCCTCTTCCGGTCGAAGATCAACGAGTAGATTCGCCCGTGGCCGGGTCTGGCAATTAACAGAGCCGCGTGGAACAACGTAATTATTCGTCGACTGTTGCGATTATTCATTCTGCTTCTGCTGGGCTTCGTTGAGCGGACAGCCAGTCTCGGGATACGCATTTTATTCACGCTCTCATAGGCGGGAATGCTCGGCCCGATCGCGTCGGTCTCGCTACGCGCGCTATGCTTATTACCGCCATACCGTGACGCTGCTGAACTACATTTTCTACCTTCCCTCCCCTGGGTCGTACACTATTTTCTATCACGTCGACATTCAAAACGGTACGAAACACTCTGAACAGGAAGGGACGATCCACGACAAGTTAGAAAGCCTTGCCTCGTGGTCAGAAATTCTCCTTCTTCTTCCGGAGATCTCCTCCTTCTGTTCAGAACTTTAAAAATTGTTCTTGAAACATATTTGAGCAAAGGTTCTGCGCTCCAAATTCAACTTTTTGCAAATTATACTCATCACTTTTGTCGTTGAACTCACTTTTTCCACCGCCATTTTCTTCACCAAACATACGCTAAAATTTAGTAAATATAACTAACGACCCTTACAAATTTTCAGAATTGTTTATGAATATATAAAATTACCATCAATGGCGCGGTTCACGTGCTATACTCGTGCATAATTATGAATTCCATATGTAATGAATTGGTACTTGCTATGAAATAATTCGTGTGCGGCTTTGTATCCCATAGTGTTGGAATATTTTAACGATAAATACAGTTTTATTTTTATTACGAAAGCTTGAGAAAGCAGTAATTTAGACAAATGATGAATTTGATTAGCAAGAAGTTGAATTTTGGTTACACATTGACAACAATGTCTTCTCTTCCTCGATGAACCTTGTTTCAGAAGTAAAAAGACATCCATTTCGTTTCTTCGGAATTTAACCCACTCTTTTCTTCAATTTTTAGACATCTCTCTTGTTTCCTTAGTTCCTAAGTGTGGTTTTCGCCAACATACTCTTCAAGACACTAGGTTTTAATCTCGTCACGCTGATACGCTCGTTATAAAACGTTAGTTTTACCGTTGAACATCGTACATTTTCGATGCAAATGGTTGTAGGCGAAGTGTAACATAAAATAGGTTAATGAAATCTTGTTATTATATTCCGTTCCTTTTCCTTCGACAACCGAATCAACTTGTCAAGAACAAAGTTATATCACAAGCACACTGATACATTTTTCCCTCCGTTTCCCAATCGAGTTACGCAGCCGCTCTTATCGAGTTACTCATCGTTTTCACAAAAGGCACTTCACGAAAATCGTGCAACCGTCAGCTCCGCAAACACGAAGTTTTTCAATGACTCACAACGATCTCGCTCTAAAGTTCAAGGCACCGTGACTAGATAATCCCAACTCTGTCTCCGTTTTCGGAAGAAAAATTTTACTCGACTTACTGAGGCAGAATAGGGGATTATCCGGCCTACGATAATCGGTGGTAATAAATGAAAGATAATCACTGGAATAATAGCAACGCAGACGCCATCCGGAGGTGACGATCCCGATACATCGCGTCGACTTTTTCCAGGTGGACGGCCCTCGACGGAAAAACTGCGTCGCGTCCAACGACATTCCTGTGACCGTCACTGGAAACGTCAGCTCCTGGCAGGTTCGTCAGTGGGAAGATTCGAGCTTGGACGAACATGAACGACCTCGTCCTCGAAACGTAATCGACGATGCTCCACGTACGGGCGACGCGTTGATTTACGACGACTGCTCGTTTTCGAATTAATGGACAGGCCAATGGTGGCGCGATTTGCGAACTGCGATGCCGTAGTGGCGTTTCCAGAGGATCGTTGCACGCTTTCTAGAAATCTGTCCCCCGACGGAACGCGCTGCATCAAGAAAGTAAGAGACGATGCATGGAATAACACAGTTTTACCGATCTTCTTCGAAACAGTCTCCCGGTGAACTGGATACGTCGCTCGAGTAGGGAGGGGGAGTTTGATATTAGCTTTTGAACGACTTTAAACGACTTTTTTCAAGCTCGATTATTCGGAGGAAGCGTCTAACAATCGACGGATGATCGAACCGGAAAACACGACCCATTGTGACGCTTACGCTAGCGTTCGAATGTTTGGAAGCAGAGTAAAATCACGTCACAGATGTTTTATTACTATTAAAGTTTAAGAAAATTGCAAATTTTATTCACGAATAACAAACAAAAATTTTAGATTCATTCGTGAACTAACTTTCCTTTACGTTTCGTTTGTTTTGTTTGTAGATTAAAATTTGGTGGATTTTTTAAATCGATAGAGAGAGAAGTAATTAAAAATACAGTTTGAATTTGTTGTTCGCGAATAAAATTTTCCTAACTCTATGCAATTTATAAGAAGACTTAAATCAATATTAACATTATTAAATTAACCACCCTTTTTCTTAATTTCTTAAAATATCTTGTATCTAACCCAAAGATTGAAATTCCAAGTTTAAATGCTTCAAACAAATGAATAATTGATAAAAGGTTATGATTATGTTAATCCATCTCCTAAATCGTATCTGTTGTAATAAAAATACGATTGTATGTATAAACGCATACTTATATATGTTAAACACGAATAAAAAAACCATACAACATTCAATATCTAAGAAATAACGTATTTAATGCAATTAATTTGTAACGCATGTTAAGCTGTACTTTAACAGTAATTAAATAGAAAGTATTTAACGTAAAGTAAGAACTAGAAATATATTTATGGTTATTTAACACAGCAGGGTTGATAATAAATATTTGTTCTTTTCAATACGTCTCCACAACTTTCATGAACCCATGTTTAATATTTTATGCATTCTATTTTCGATTAATTGCAAAGTAAGCAAAAGTAGTCTTCTTCATTAATATAAATAGTAGAATTATCTTCAGTGTGAGTTATCGATTGTGAGATAAATTTTATTAGAATTAATACCTGTTTGTTTAATTTCTTGTTTTGAAGATGCTACTGTTTTTCTATAAGAGCTAATACGTACGTAAATATGGTCCACCGTACCCCTCCCTCTCCTGAACCCCGCCTGATTCTCCGGAATCATCCCCCCCCCCCCTCCACCTCCCGCTCCAACCTCCCTATAAGAGCTAATAATTAATGCTTAAAACGTTGGCAATGATGAAATTTCTATTATATAAACTGTTAAAGGATAATTATTTTCGTTTCCCATTTCATTTTTTGAATTTAAAATGATTTCAACAGCATTTGTGCTTTAATTGTTTTTAACATAATTTAAACATATCAATATTTCAAACAAATTAATACAATGTCAGTAGGCAGATACCACATTCTATCATAAAATAAGCCTCAAAGACTAATAAATATGCATAATGTATTATATTAATCAGAAAATTCAAACATTTAAAGAAAAGTTCAGTTCCAAAAAAAAAAAAACAAGATCAATGCTGATAAGGTGGTTCATCAATTAAAACTTGGTCTTACATAGTATACGTAACGAACAATTTCGAATATCAAATTTTGAAATAGGATCAGATCGGAGGAACACGAAGGGTAGTTAATCTGCAACCCCAATTTTGATCTCTAATATTATGCACCCTTTAATATTATAAATACGTTCCATTTTGAGTGATTTTGATAGCACGCTAAGGTAATCACGGAAAGTGTACCTCTACAAGAACAAACACGTGATCTGACACGATGAATACCGGTGCCACGAATCGCATTTCACTACAACCTCCACGATTTCACATTATTCTCGCACTGTGCATCACTGACGAGTCAAAATTATCAAACGTTAAACGTGTCGAAAGCTCGTTAAAATTTTTCTAAATAAAAAAAATGTTTAATTTATTTGAAAGCGTAGAAATTGCTACCGTTTTAGCATCGAGCGTGATCCAAAGCAGATTTTAGATCCCAGAGACTTCCGATGCTGAGAACCATTCGCGCAAACTGTAACGCGATCGCTTCGTAAAGCGCGGCTCAACTGCAAAACAACATCGAGGCGTATGCAAGATCGTTTCCGGCAATTAGGTTCCTTAAATTGTTAATGGAAAATCCGCTCGACGGGTCGAGCCACTAACTGGGGCGAACGAATAAAAATTCAACGACTCGAAACTGGGGATTTTCGGTTCCTGTAGAAAAAAATAAATTCTGAAAACGATTTCGAGTTCAAATCGATTCCCTGAAAAATCTTTTCTCTCATGAACTTTGGAACCATTGACCCTTCTTTTAGTTAAAAATTGTATGGTCTGCTTGGTCACGAACGTAATTTAAATCGACGCAAATCGTGCATGTTCTTTTTTTTCTCTTAAAAAAATTAACTGGAAATTATGTAATAGATTATCGTTTATTAATCGTTTATTGAAAAACAAGTTTTATATTTTAATGTTCGATCTTTGGGAATTTTATTTATTTAAACAGAATATTCATATATCGTGTATATGAATTTAATTCTTGGTAATTCTAAGAATTTTTATAACTGTAAATTAATGTATGTGTATGATACATAACTTGAACTATAAAATACACCCTCTGAGTCATTAGATTGTCACATCAAACTTCTACAGTATTTCGTACCTGTTTGTAACAACTAATCACTTTAAAAGATCGATACTTGTCTAAAAAAGAAACGATTTCCACAGATCGAATGAGAACAATTCCAAAGAATAAACGTTTTTTATTTGATGTCTGATGCAACGAGCTCAAAATAAAGTTCAGAGTGAAATTAACCCAAACGTCGATTTTCACAGATCGAATGGGAATAGTTCCAAAGAATAATCGTTTTTCATTTGATACCCGATGAATCGAGCTCAAAATAAAGTTCAGAATAAAATTGACCCATTCTTCGGAGCGTCGAAGTTCTTGTGGGGCCGATCTAAATCATTTTTGACCTTTAAATGTTGCGAAGTGTAGTCATTATTTTTCCGTTGAATGGCACGCCACAATTCTGAGAATCATTCCAGAGATCCGACTGTGACCTTGACACCGTGGAAACCGTTTTATGAGATACGAGCCCGAGGAGCACGTGACATGATCGACGATTTTCCAGGCACGACCAGTGCCCACTCTATCTAATTGCGATCGGAAATCGAAAAAGGCGGTAGAAACGCGAGAGGTCGAAAACTGTGTGGGATCCATTTTTCACAGAAACATGGATCACGACGGTGAACATTTTTTTAATTTTAATGATTAGACCCTAGATGTTTATGCGCGTAAGATATGCAAAGAACATATGACATTTAGGCACGTAAAGTATGCATACATGCGCGAAAAATATTCAAATTATGCAAGTAATCCTAGGTGCGATATACGTTCACCGCTGTAGAACATTATCGAACTGTTCTACGAGTTTATTAAACTTCGAAAAATATTTTACTCGGTCCAGCATAATTTAGAAACATGATATAAACTCATTAGAATGAACGAAACTAGACGAAACGAACGTAGTACTGGAAGGATATTTAACAATACATTGATAAATATATTTCTAAAAGTCTCGAATAACAGAATTTATTTTTTATTTTTAATTTCAGTCTCTCTTTTATACTGTTTTCCTTACTTTAATTCTT